ACTGCTGCTCTTCTACAAACACCAGCAGAAGAACGCGCCCGTGACCTTCATCGTTGACGGTGCCGTGGTCAAATTTGGCCAGGGCTTTGGGAAGACAAACATATATACTCAGAAACAAGAACCTCCCAAAAAGGTAATCGGCCTCGGAGACGTAAAAAGGCGCTCTCTGCTTGTCAGAAAGGTGTGGTGAGTAAAATCCTGTAATGGCGGGGGCAGAGGGAGAAAAACAAGGAAGAAAAGGACCCATAAACAGTAACTCGGTTTGGTGTCTTCTCCCTGTTTGCCCCAAGTTTTCCTTTGCAGAGGTCACTCCAGTTTGGAGGCCTAAAGCTAAAGGAAAGCAAAATAAGCTTGGATATCTGGAGTGTGCCTGATGTTTAGGCTCAGTTAGCAGAAAGTTTCCGTTTGTAAGTAGGTCACGTTGGTAGCCTTGCAGAGCGATTCTCAAAATCTGGCTCATTATTACGTATCGGTGAGTTTGCTTCTGGTAACGTCAGCTCTGAGCCCAGAAATCAGTGGGGATAATTCTCCTTTGCCACCCACGGAGCTCAGGTATGATTTGCCCTTAATGACTTGCATGAGAAGCCTTGAAAGCTTTGGAGGGGGCAGTGATCGCTGGTGGCAGAGCCGTTGCCAAGGTTTAACAAAACACTCGGCTTCTCACCCAGGTGATGATGACCAAACGGACCAAAGACATGGGCAAGTTCAGTTCTGTCACAGTGTCCACCATTGATGAGGAGGAGGAGGAGATCGAAGCGGTGAGTTTCATCTGCCCTGAGTGGCGGTCACGTCTGAGCTGGGCAGCTGTCTCAGACACCGACCCAAGCCGGTGGTCATCTTGCTGCTCGGACGAGGTGTTGGTACTTCGGCGTTTGCTGTTGCAAAGTGACATTGTACATGTTTCAGAGGGAGATTGCAGACTCCTATGCACAGAATGCAAAGGTGATTGAGAAGCAGCTGGAACGCAAAGGCATGAGCAAAAAAAGACTGCAGGAGTTGGTGAGTGTTTTCTTTGGCGTTGAACACGAATCCCTGAGATCTGTTGGCTTTGTACACAAAAACTATCTTGCAGATCGGGCTACAAGTGTAGAGAGGTTCTGGTACAGTCATAGGTAACTTGTAGCTTTGTGAGGATGGCTTTTCCTTTACAGGTTTTATATAGATGTTCTTCTAGTCCTCCTGAACTTGAAATCGTATGCAATGACCTATAGAGCTGACTGAAGAGCAGCCTGCAGAGCATTTGCAGGGAGACCTTCCATGACCTGTTGGACAAGGAACAAGGGAAGGGGAAACCAGGCCATGGCTTTGCCAACCAGAGCACCCCTAATGCTGTGCTCTCAGGCCTGCTTGGCAGAGCAGGTCTTTACCGTGAGGCATCAGGGCAAGCTAAGGCCCTCGTGGAGGACCTGCCAGCTCAGCTGCTACCGGAAGGGTCACTTGCAGGTTTGGTGGCAAGAACATCATGGCTGATCTTACCTGTGGTGACAGTGGAGTAGTAGATGGCGGGGGGGGAAATGTGCAGCTTCCACGTGAGAATAGAAAGTATGAAATTGTCTCTTGTGCAGGTAGTCTTGGGCTCTTCATGATTTTAAAGGTGGTCCTCACTTTGTATCTCACGGGAGGAGGGAGGCAGCAAAGAACTCGAGCTACTCTTGCTCCTGGTGTGAAAACCTTGCAGTGGTCAGACAAGAAGACCAAACCTCACTGGAGCACTGAAGGGAAACGCATCCAGATGTTATTTCATTCTGTCTTAATTTCCTTAATCAGGCTGAGCTGGAAGCCAAGAAGGCCAAGATGAAAGGAACCCTGATCGATAACCAGTTCAAATGAAACGCTGCACATCTGCTGGGTACTCGGGCACCGGAGAAAGCTACCAGGAGCTATCGCAGATCTGTCAACAAAGCAGAAATAACAGACAATGTTTAAGAGCAACGTGCTGCAACCAGCTTGGAGGATGAGTACCTGTCTGTCATAAGTGGTAGTCTGGTACCAATTTTAATAATTCCGACAGCACTGGAGATTTTGCTGAAACTGCAGTTCTCTACAGACCCAGTGTTATGAGCAAGCTGTTCCAGCCAGAATATTTTACTTTTGGGAAGATCTTCGCTGGGTGCCCTCCTGAGTTCAGTGCACCTTTAGATACCTGTCTTTTTATTTTGGTAGTTTTAAATATGTGAGATTTCCATAAATGCATTAGAACATTAGGTCAACTGTACAACAAAGAAATTAATTACAAAAGTGAGTCAAAGCTCTGTGCCTGTTGTTCATTTTATTTTAAATGTGTCCAAAACGTGCAGCGGCCTGAAAGATGTGTGGTTCCACGGCAGCCTGAACGACTCGGCTGCGAGGCGTGGGGGTCGTGCAGCTGCCGCAGCTGTACAGCATTACACTGCCCCACCGGATACTGCCCGATACAAGAACACAAAATCTGACCCTGTTTTAAACTACTGAAAACAAAAGTGCCTGCATGTTCTATCACCAGCGAGTACAAATCCATACGACTGGCGATCATTTGAAGTACAATACAACTGCACGTCTGAGATAACCCATTCTGCAAAACAGCACCAGTCTTTGGAGTTGTCAAATGTGAAGGAGAGGGAAAAACTGTTTTGAATGCACTGGCCACTGAGGACTTGGATAAAGACCACATTAAGAATGGGTATGTAAAGTACCTCGTTTGGGAAATAATATTTTGCGTCTCTTGCGTGATGTAATAACAGTGCTCTGTAGCCCATGTCTTTGTTGCTCTACCTGGGATTAAATACCATGTTATGGATTTGAACTAAAATACTTTTCCTAGCATGTTCTTACTCTACCAAGTATCGTAAAATAATGTGAGTAATGAACAAGATGCTTCATCTCCCACAGTTATTAGGGAAGACTTCCTATAATCAATAAAGATTTTGCATCTGGTTTTACAACCCTGACTGGGAGAACTCAGGTCTGCTTAGTCGAAGGATGTATCCTTCCTTTCTTTGGGAATATAAGGTGTAAGGGATGGAGTGCACTCAGCTGTCAGGCTGGGATGCAGAAGTTGTATGCCAATTTAATTGCCTCTTCAGTTAAGCAGTTGTAAGGTGGTGTGTAATACTTGGGAAGGGCAGGAGGAAGGAGTGGATAGAACCTGGTTACCCAAACCCCTTTTCCAAGCGTGGTAGCACGGTCCAGCCAGGCAAGGGCCTCAGGCTTCTTCTGAGAGCAACCCCAGCCCTGAATAACCACAGGTTGGTCTCAATAAAAATTAGGAAGGTTTTTCCAAGCAGCAGTCACAGACTTTGAAATTTGAAAATAGGTTTTCAACCACATGAGGTCTGCTGGGATGCAGACGAATTCGTCTCCAGTTGTCAGAAAGGATGAAGTACGGTCCTGCTGCAAGTGACGCCCAGAACAAAAGCTGAGCCGGGGTAGTGCGATTTGCAGTTAGGGTTAAGGTTGGGAGTGACAAAAACACAGGGCCTCGGCGATGTGGGGCTGTGAAGCAGCTACCAGGTGGGGCTAGGACCACCTTTGCGGTTTGGTGAGGCACAAAGAAAAGCCGATGAGCACGCAGCTCAGCACAGGTTGCCCGAAGTAGCGGCCACGAACTGCCATCATCTTCCTCAGCTGTACGCCTCAAGCCCTGGGGCAGTGCCCACAGCACGGCACGAACACGGCTCCCTTCTGGCTCTTGGAATACCCGCCCACGTTTGGTCACTGGTTTTCCAGTCTCATCATCAGAAATCTGCCCAGTTCGGCTCAGGACTCGCTCATGGACCCGGTCAGAGAGGGGAGTATGCAGTTTGTCACGCTAGCAGCGCCTGAGATGGATTAACACACTCCAGTTATGCAGTCAATGGCTGAAACAACTCCAACACAAAGAATCTGATCCAATACATTATAAAGTATATATTTTTCGCCCTGACTAGTCCTAGTTCACTATTTAAATCAAGTTTGTGTTTTTCATTTCTAGATTTAAATGAATTAAAAGATGTTAGCTGACTATAGCAACAGGAAGCAGGGGTACATAGTTCAAATGCTTGATTAACTGTCCCGTTATAACAGATAAAACTAGCCATTCTGCAGAGTTTCCCACACTCTGGTATCAAGTGTGTAATCTGCAGCAGTATTCAGACCAAAGAAAAGGCAGATTTTGTGTTACTGTAAAAGCCAACATCAGTTTTTATAAATCTGTAAATATAGGTAGGTGATAGATTTGTATTTTTAACTGAGCACTATATTATACATAAGAACTTATCTGGATGCAGATGGATTGCAAAGCAAAGTAGCATATGAAATAAAAGTGGAGGAAGGGATCTATTCCAAAAATAATGCCGCACGTGGCCAAACTGACCTTAGTGTGTTCCATGGCTTAGCCCAGTCCTGTTTCCAAGCGCCTTCGCAATAACCGAGTCTGAATTACCATGTCGGAATAGTTCTGGAGCAGCAATGCTGCCTTGTTCCTCAAAACCTGTGAAAAAAACCTCCCCTCACACACTTTGTAAACAGCGAAGAGAAGCAGTGATGATGAATCCGACCTCGTGAGCATTAATCGCAGCTGTACCATGGGAGCAATGCAGGGTCCTCCCCGCCTGCCTCCCCACACACGGCTGCTGCCATCACAGAGGCTCCGGCATGCTGGAGAACACCGAGGCTTGTTCGGAAGCTGGTACGCAGCTTTATTGGCATGGATCTGCCTGGCTCCGGGCAGGGTAACAGCCCAGAGGGAGCTGGGCACTGGGAGCCCAGTAAGGGCAGGGCTGCAGGGTGGGCTGGGGAGCCCTGCCGAGCTGCCCGGCCCCGTAGCCCTGCACATGGCGTGAGGAAGACGTTCCCGCTCAGCTCGGCTGCATAGCAGAAAGCTGCCTTCAAGGGAGCAAGCACCGATGGTTCCCTTGCTTTGCACCCACGGCTGGTGCCTCGCGCCCTGGGATGTGTTGCGGGGAGCCGCGTGGCCCTGTGCCCACCACCCCACCATGAGGGTCTGCCTGTGGGACACAGCAGTGGTGAGCACCGGCTGGGATGCTCCCAGCTCCCCAGCTCTGCATGCATCCCCACCATGACGCCCGGCAGCGACCAGGCAGCTGGAGCATGTGCAGAGTCCAGCCTCGAAACCTGAAGGCAAATATTTCTGGTCAGCTATTACAGTTCTGTTCGGGCTGTGCTCTGTTTCTGCTATTTCACCCACTAGATTGGCTTAGAGATGGCTCAGACTCCCTAGACTATTGCAATAAATATTAATACACACACACTAATGCTTTTTTGGTGTACAACAACGTGAGCAGCTTGGGAACGGCACTGACGGATCAGCCTAAACCAAACCAGACTCAGCTTTTGCTGGTGTTACCCGAAAGAGCCCCACAGGTCCATGAGGCACTGCCACATCCAGGCATTTAAAAATATAAAATGAAAATTATGGGCTTGTTGAAAAGGCTGCAGGGCTGGGCTCTGAGGGACGGGGGAGGAAGCTGTGTAGCTCTCCTCTGGGGAGCAGATCTTGTGAACCTAGCTGGCCACAGCATGCTGGTTTCTTGGGTGGATTTCCAGGCACAAGTGGCCAAGCTCTCCTTGCTTGCCAGCCAGAAAACCTCTGCCCGGTCCCTGCAGCCAGGGCTGCAACTGCTGTCAACCCCGGCAGGACCAGACAGCGACAACCAGCAAAGCCCTGGTGGGACAACACCTCCCAGAACCTCCCTGATGCTGCGGGTCTTCGTGTGGGTCTTCGCAGCTCCTGAGGGCTCGCTCAGTGTGCCCAAAACCGCTCCCCCCGCAGCAGCTCAGTATGGGGCCAGGGTGTGTAGAAACAGGCGAAGCACGCCGGCTTTAGCTGCTGCCCCACAGCCCGACCTGTGTGCGTATGGCAGCCGACGGGGACACCTCGGGTGGCCGGGCAGCAGCAGGGTCAGCCCCATGGGTGGTTTCAACACACCCACCCTGCTAGGAACAACCGATTTTACCCTGCGTGACCCAAAGCATCGCATCTTATAGAATCATAGAATCATTAGGGTTGGAAAAGACCTCTAAGATCATCAAGTCCAACCGCCAACCCAACACCACCATGCCTGCTAAACTGTGTCCCGAAGTGCCACATCCACACGTTTTTTGAACCCCTCCAGGGATGGTGACTCCACCACCTCCCTGGGC